ACATAAAACCTGGATTATTTACTTGTTTATGGGATCAGGTGATTAAAGAAAGAAATGGAAACGGAAAGCAATTATAATGAGGTGAAGTGGGACCTCATGTGGCAGGGCATAGACATGGAAGAGGGTGACGTTATTGGTTATTGGTTGTTTTGTGCAGAGATCTCTTAATCTCATCACTATCTCCTCCTACCCTCTCTGGCTTCTTGACATGTTTTCCCCTGAGATGAAGCACAGTCCTTGCTCCTTACGCACCCATGCTCTAAAGCTTAAAAGCACCACACGAATCCTCTCTCTTTTACATCTTTCCCTTGCAAATCTCTCTGGTTTCTACATGCTTGAAAACATTAGCCAGAGAGAGAGAGAGATGTTAAAGACTTGATGGTGATAATAAAACCTGTGGTGTTGGTACTGCATCTATTGCCTCTCTCTCTCTTGAAACTGTGAGTTTGGTCTCGTTTAACCTTCAATTTTTTTTAAATTACAGTCATCAATCTTCAGGCTAGAAGAAAGAAATGGAACCCAACGCCAACCCTCAAGATCTCCAAACCCAGATCGACTTGCAATCATCTCAAGCGAGCCACCTCCAAAACTCCGGGTCTTGTCCGGGTCGTCCGGGTCATGGTTCAACCCGCCGGATCGACTGGGTTTTGCCGAGTTGTTGCACTGGTTTGTCACCGGGTCGTCCGGGTCCCGGGTCGACCCGCCGGACCGGACCGGATTTAATAACTATGATTACACACTGGCAGATCTTTTAACAAACTTAAACTAACCCAATTCCTAATTCTGATCTATCTAGTCAGAATTTAATACCTATAATTTCACGACCGTAATGATAAAATGTATTAAAAAAAGAGAGAAAGAAAGAGGAAAGTCTCATAAAATAATATAAAACACTCTCATGTCCAAGTTGGTGCTAGGAGGTGGAGAGCTAGAGATCCTTTTGAGGACAGCACCCTCTGGGCGTGTGTGTGTGTGTTTTTAAGAAAAAGAGTTGTATATAAGATAGAATCATAACCCATTAATGCAGGTTTTCGTGTTAAAGTGATGTCTGACCTTGTAGATGAAGGCCCAATTGAGTTTCCAATACAGATCTCCGCAACAAGTGATGGCAGAACCAATGCATGGAGGGGGCATCCCTGGGACCGTCATCATTCACCATCCGAGGTACAGGCCTAAGGAGAGGTCTTGTCAAGGGCGAGCTCCCCAGCAAGCTTGTTGCGGCTAGTTGCCAAGGGCACAAAAGAAGTGGCTTGGTCACCTGAGGCACCGCGTGCACAACCAGAGTCATGATCACTTTTATTTTCGCAGTCTTTTTTGCATGATTTCTATGATAACCACAATATGTGAGCATTGGCTGATCATCAGTTCGCGGATCCTTTTCTTGCATTCAAAAGCTCAAGCAGGTTGATGTATTTTAAAGGGGGTGATAACATTATTGATTGATTGATCATTTGCAGAATTTAATTTTAATTTATTCTTAATTTTTTTTAATTATTCTTGTTTATCTTCCATAAATTTGGACGACGAGTAATCGGGTTTTATGTTTCTTAAAACAATAAACAAGTTCCAGGGGGAGGGAAAAAAACTATGGAATGACAAGTAATACAAGACAACTCGTTATCCATCTGATATAGAAATGGTGTTCCTTACGAAGAAATCAAATAAAAGAATTCAGAGTTGATCTAATTTAACTAAATCAATTACATGGATGAACTTGGAATTCAATTAATTTGGTTAAAATTTAATTATTTTTTATTTTAAAATAATATTATTTTTAAATTTTATTTTTTAAAAAAATAAAACGATGATATTTTCATTAACTGTATTAACTTATACCAAGTAATTAAACTGAATCATGTATCATGTTGTTTAATAATTTTATTACGAGCACACCTAATAGACTTGTAACATTTGTAAGAACATTACTTAATGCAGTCTCGTCGTTGGAAAACTTACATGTATCTCGAGCATGAGAGCCATCAGCATCCCATTGCAATATATAGTTTTACTCACATAATTTTCAAAGTTGATTAGTTGTCAACTCACCCTTTTAATACTATAATTATTATTTTTATTATTGAGTATACTATAATGATGCAGGTTAAATCTTGGATGGTTATGACGTAAATCCAAAAGCAAAAGACAATGACACACTTTTTTTATATGTACAGCGTAATTGTAGTTATTTTTTAAAATATTTTTTTATTTAAAAATATATTAAAATTATAATAGTTTGACTCTATTTATTATATTTTATTCATTTTGATTCTTATCATCTTCATAATTTTGTTTTTAATAATACGAATTTACTAATGAACCTAGCACTCTGAAATACTGAAATACATATAATAAGTTAACAATCAAATCTCTTAATAAGGTTAATTATTATTCCTTCACCCATTGATATAGAATATTACAATTCATCCTATCAATGAGCACGATGACCTCATCGGCATAATCGGATAATTAGTGAAGTCGGTTCTGATACTAAATATAACAGCCCAGTTTAACTTGTTATATATTATTCGTTTTGAGCATTATTGTTCTCGCAATTTTGTTCTTAGAGACGCAAGTTCACTTCTAAACCTAATAACCCAAAACACATATGATAAATTGACAATCAGCACTTTTAATAAAATCAGTTACCACTCTATTTATCAATATGGGATATTATAAAAATATATTATTTTATGTTTTAAAAATTAATTTTGATATCAGTATATCAAAATAATCTAAAAACACAAAAAATATACTACTCTATTTATCGATATGGGATATTATAAAAATATATTATTTTATGTTTTAAAAATTAATTTTGATATCAGTATATCAAAATAATCTAAAAATACAAAAAATATTAATTTAAAATAAAAAAAATACAAAAATAATTTTTTAAAATACAAAAATAAACTGAGTATAAATATCTATACATGCTACCAATTTTTTTTTAAAAAAAAACAATTTCATAGCCATTCCTAGCAAGTTGGCCATAATTATTGAAGAAAGTTGAGAAGATGACCTTTCATAACGCAAAGAAATATGAAAAGGACAAGTAACCAGCCAAAATCAGATTCCAATTTGAAAAGGAGGAGGAGGAGATGGAGATGTTAGATGAAAACAAAAGAGTTACAATCAAGATGAGACATTTCAAGATTTTTAGGAAGTCTCCTGCCTGAAATATCTCACATATTTAGCGTAAAGATGAAGAATGCTTCTTTTTTTTATAGTAGAATCGTGCTTTAAAAAAATTAATTTTTAAAAAATTATTCTTTTTATTAATATTAAAAATAAAAAATAAACTTTTATTATATTTTTAAATAAAAAATATTTTAAAAAATAATTTCTCACTTTCTAAATGTAAACGGAGTGTCTTTGTTAATGTTAAAATATTTTGTATGAAAAACGATGCTAATCATTAAAAAAATATTAAATTATTAAATTAATATAACCTACATCTAATCCAAAACTAAAATTATGATCCAGTAATCATATTTTTCTTCTTATTTATTATTTCTCATGTTGGAAATGAGATAGCAAAAAGAGCATCTCACCAGAAAATAATACTCATAACGCTTTTCCTGGCAAATAACCCACTGCCCCAAACTTTGATGGAAGTTAAAGTTTGATTGTTTTTGTATTTTAAAATATATATATTTTTATTTTTTATTTTAAATTAATATTTTTTGATTTTTTAATTATCTTGATGTATTAATATTAAAAATAATTTTTAAAAATAAGAAATATTTTTTAAATAAAAAACATTTTAAAAAATAATCACATTTTATATATAAATATATCGGGAGTCAAAAACATGATGGTACCTTGGCAAGTTCAAATGCTTATTTTAAAGAGAAATTAGTACACAAACTAATTTCTGTAGATAAATCTTAGTTTTTAATTAATTTATTTTCTACATTAAATTTCGCCAAGGTATTTCAAATAGCTTTAGAATTGTGATAGATTCCATTTATTTATAAAGGAGAGAAATGGAAGAAACTACCAATGTCATAATTTATTTAATATCGATATTTAAAGAAATAAAATTTTATAAAAAACATCATTAAAATTTGAACATATAAAATAAAAGATATATGACCCAACATCGAATAAGGATCACCACACCTCTGCCAGAGGCGAAGGTCCACGAAAGTGCCACAGGCACAATCACAAAAATAAAGTGCAATTATTGATGTGGAGAACCCTACATTTAGGTGCTTGTGGGTCCACCAAAACAAAGGTATATGACCCTACCTAAGATCCCTCCAATTTCGGCGTATATTTTAGTTCCCTAGACATAAGGGATTTTCACATTAAAAAAAATACAATAATATGTATAAAAATAAAGAGAGATTAAAGGGGTACTTGAGAGTGTTATAATATTTTTTTTAAAAAATATTTTATGCTTCAAAATATATTAAGATAAAGTTTTTTATTTTTAAAAAAATTATTTTTAACATTAATATAAAAACATTAAACAAATATTATTTTAAAATTAAAAATTAAAAAAATTAAAAACTATTTTTAAAATACAAAAACAAATATAACCTAAATAATAATAGTTAATCAAAGAAAAAAGTTTTTTTTTCCTTGCAAAGAAGCACCAAACTTTGGAGAATTCTACTCCACTCCATGAGTGATTAATTGTATCTAGCTAATTATTTTATAAACTTAACTTTAAATTTAAAAAAACAAACATAAAAAAAATTATAGTATCAAAAGTTATAAGAATATTTTTATTTAGCATTTCTTAAAACAATATATAATTCAGAAAATAATTAATATAATAACATATGAACACCACAAAATTTCTTACCCGTGAAGATTTTTGTTGTTTTTTAAGTGCTCTACATGCAGCCCGCTATTAAGATTCGTAGAAGTGGGTGATTGGAGAGATGGTGATTTATTAGAATAATTGTATTGTATTAGATTCCTTGCTTTGATTTTTTTTTTTTTTTACTGTAAACATTAGATCAAGTGGTTAGGGTGGCAACAAAAGGCAATTAACAAATAGTTAGAAGATTATAACCTGTAATTTGATAAGGACACCAGATTCCATGATTGCCATTTTTATACTTTATATAACTAACAAAACCTCTAATCTAATCTAAGATTATATTATGGAATCATTAAACAAAACATTCCATGGAAAATGACAAAGTTGAAACAGCATGGCATGCATCTTCTATCTCACAGCCTCAAACCCTCTCTCCTTCCTCGCATGATTCTTCGACTCACCTGCACGGATTCACATGATTAACAGTACTCCCAATCATGAAAAAATATAAATGTAATACATCAAACAATGTTTTTACAGTTATGCCTTGCGGTTAAAATGCTGTGCCTGTTCTTTGTAGGAAATTTCTTCTAATTATCTGTGAAAGCTAACGGAACGAGGGAAAAGGTGAAACGCATTACTCTGTGGCCAGTTTCTGGGACTGAAACACAAGCCAGTGAAAGCAACAGGCATGGCAGGGAATAAAAATCAAGTGATCGGCTTCAGCTTCCTAACCATGCCCACAGCACAACTGCTGTTTCCTTATCCATTCCATAACTTACAAAGGAAATATGCATGCCAATACCAAGAACGATGAAATCAAATACTTGCAGTAGGAGATTAATTAATCAAGATTTAAGACTTGATGGAAAAAAGTAAGTAAAGACTAAACAAAAGCGATACCTTGAGGCTTACAGTTAGGTGGATCTTCAAAGAGTGATAAGGACAGCTGCTTATGAGCAACCCCAATGTCAAACAAAATAAGTCCTGATCTTGGGTCATCAACTGTGATGTCTTTCACTGGTAGCCAAAGAAAGAGTTCTTCTTGAGACAAGCCAACAACTCCTGAAAGACTAAGATAAGTGAGATTAGCCCTCACTACACTTTCAAACAAGACCCTGTTCTCATATCTGGTCAAGCATGGACCATCAAGAAACACCTCCAAGTAGCCATCTTCAGACACAGTGTAGGACTTCACTTCCTTCGGGAGTAGACCAGCTGGTAGCCCTTTTGAGATAAGCAGGTCGTGGATTGAGGAGGAGAAAGAGAGTTGTGGAGAGAAGATGAACACCAAGCTCAGTGTGCAAAGAGAGACTATTATGGTCTTGGTGTTAATGATGGCCATGGTAGTTTGTTTAGAGAGAGTGAAGAGAGGGAAGGAGAGGATCGAGGGGGATGGTTTTGGGCTAGAGAGAAGACTGTTTTTAAAAAAAGGGAGGGTTAGAGAGGTGGAATGACCGAATTGCCCTTGGTTGTTGGTGAAATGGGACCAAAGTGTGTTTGATTAGGATCTTGTATTGTTCCGTAATGTATCACCTCATGAGCCTTAATCATAGATGTTGGGTTTGATGCTATACTGTATCAATATTATTTGGTGAGTTGTTCGTGTTTTAAAAATTTTTTATATATATTTTTAAATTATTTTAATGTATTACTATCAAAAACAAATTTTTAAAAATACAAAATATATTTTATTAATATATTTTCTTATAAAAAATACTTTAAAACAATTACTATCACACTATCCTTCAACTTCCCTAAGTAATGCACCTATGAATAATTTGCATAATTGCATAGCAACTTGTCGGTAAGTATTTATTATATTAATAATCAATTGGTCAAAATCAATTTCTTGAGATATATCTATTTAGTCCCTTGAAGAATCTGTATTTCTTATTTGGGCTTTTTATTAGAATTTTTTTAACATAAATTGCTAAGTTTTCTATAAAAAGAATAACTTTTTTATGATAAAGAGCATAATTTAGATGGAATTCATGATCAATTAAGAATTTTGAAACTTGGGGGATGAAATTCATTAAAAGATTTGTTTGAGGTAAAATCGAGACTCCTATGTATATATATATATATATAGCAATTTTAAGATGCACCCTTGTCTTCTTCCATCACGCGAAGGAATAATCATGATAGGTAGCATTGTAAACAAAGTAAACAAGAACTTCAATTTCTTGTCTTCTAAAACCCTACATTTAATTCACATGCACAAGCAAGGAAATCTTCTTTTGTCATGAAATTAACCATGATTTAACAAGTCATTATAAAATAAGAAACACAATTAACTAGAATTCTATCTATTAATGGCTCAATTTCTAGAGTTTATGCATATACATACATATATATATTTGATGATGTGTGTAGCAGGATTCCTCTTTGTTGATTTTATTTTACTTATGGAACCAATAGACATATTAGAGTTGATTGTTGTGATGTATCATTTTCCTTTTTATATATATAAAAATTAAGTCTCGATCTATGAATTATAAATATTGGTCCATGTTGCAACCAATTTTTCATAATAAGCTTTGAATGAAATCAATGACCTTGCTGAATGACCATAAAATCAATGGCCTCCGAAAACTGGTGTTTCACTGTGACTTGGATTTCATTCAAGTGAGGTAACTACCGCCCATATGTCGTGCACTACAGAAGAACATGGGGTCCAAGTAGAGGTTTTGCATTGAAAAAATAGAAACAATAAATTTATCTTTTGTATTTATCGAGCAAATTAACTTGGTATGTTAATTTGAACCCAGTTGATATATATTTTAAACCGATTCAAGTTGAAAATAAAAAAGAAATAAATAGACCTTACTTGATTTGTTTGTTGAAAACTTAAATTTAATATTTAGATTGTGTTTTAACAATTATAGAAGAGATTTGTGTGTTTGTTATTTTTTAATAAATATATTTTTTATTTGTGTGTTTGTTATTTTCGTTGTATTTTACTTGATTATTGAACTTGCAGGATATTCAATAAATTTAAAAATTAATCGTGATGCTCGTAAACTAGACCGGATATTTCAGATTATTAAAACATTAACTAAATTTATATATAAATTAAATAAAACCCGATCAAAATCAACTAACTATTTTTTTATTTAAATAATATTATTTTTATTTAAAAAATAATAATAATTAACTTCTATTTAGAACTCGGATCTTATTAGATATCTACCGTTTTAAAAAGGATGTTATATATATATATATATAGTGAAAACCATGCATGCCTGACAGCCATGGAGGTATAATTATTAGATTAGAAAGTTGTTGCCAGTCCAAAAAATAAAAGTGGTTGAATGATGAAAATGCCAGAAGCAAATTTGCTTTCCCCTCATCGCAAGCAAACTTTCAATAATATAGCTAAGATCTTGGGTCCCCTAAAGTAAACACGGGCAAACAGAACACACTTGTCTAACTTCATTTTCTCTTCGTCTTCATCTCTCCTCTGCGCAAGAACAAAAGAGGTTTCAATTGTGGAGTTCAAGTCTTGCATCTGTGACTTCTAAATATGTAGAGAAAATTTTAACTGGATAGGTTAACTAGTAAAGGCCATCTTGGTCGTTTACAATGACAATGTGGTATATAGTACATGAAGAATTTACCGGATGCACTTGCAGTAAAAAAGACTGGACTTTGAAGGTCCCCTTCATGCCCCTTCTTCAGCTCAATGAAGGGTTAAAAAGGTTAAATTTTCACTTCAGTCCCAAGGTATGATTCTGTACACATTTTTTTTCCTGTATGTTATGCCTCCTGCCAGATTTTTTTTTCAATTGGATCCACATCTTCTATAACATGAAAAAAAAGGGCTACGATAACTTAAAATTAACTTGATAACATGATAACTTAAATTTACTTGGATTAATTTAATAAATATGTTAAATATGAAATCAAGATACCTCAAAAAACAAAAAATATTTTAAAACTCGAAGACCCACTAACATAATTTTAAATAATCAAATTAAATAAAAAACTAATTTTAAAAATAACTTCTATAAAAAAACTCAATTCAATTTATGTTTATTATACTACTTCGTCACCTATGATATAAGATCAAGATTAACAATTATATAGTTTAAACTTGAAATTATTGAAGGAGCAAATCTTTTATAATAAATCTGGGTTGACCTGGATATCCACTTTAATAAAATAAAATATTTAAAAAATTAAAATTTCTAAAAATAACATAGAAAAAGGATCAGATTTAAATAAATAAATAAATAAAAAATATAAAAACTTAAATTATATCGGATTAACTAATTTACGACTCCGGATAACCTTACTAACCCACGTCCAAGGATAACTTGACTAATATAAGACCTATAATAACCTCATAGGAAGGAAGAACATAAAAAAAAAAACTCAAAATTCAAAATTGAAATAACCTTGGTTAACTTGACTAATCTGTAATTCAGGATAAAAAAATTATTAAAAAATAACAATTAAAAAGATAAGGACTGAAATTGGATAACAAAAAATGTTGAGAGATAATATTAAAAAAATAAAAAAAATCAATTAAAAAAATAAAGATTAAAATTAAATAAAAAAATAAATAAAGTAAAATGTTGAAGAATAAGATTGAAAAAAATAAAAAAAATAATTAAAGAAAAAAAATAAAAGAAATAAGTATAAAAATAACTTAAAATGAAACCAAATAAAAATAAATGAAATTAAAAAAACTTAAAAAAAAAACCACAATCGAAAGAAAAAATAAATGAAAAGAAAAATCTAAATTTTAGCTTGGATTTCAAAGGGGAAGAAAAAAAAAAAAGAGGTAAAAAATAATCTAATTACCTTTGAACTGTCTAGAATTAATTGTAAAATATTTTTTATTAATTAATTTTCATGTAAAATATTTTACTACAAATAAATATATAAAAATATTTTATAAAAAGATAAACGAGCACAAAATAATTTTAAAAAATACTTTTTTCGTATTTTACAATTCACACGGAAGAAGCAGAACCTAAGTTACAGTTTATATAATTTTTATGACGGAAGATGTGAAAATTAGTATTATTTTCATTTTTGCCACTGAAGACCGAGGAGACAGGACTGGAGGGGGGTCCTTGGCAGTTTCTTCTGTCCATTGGGACACTGTTTCTGGGACATAAAGTTTTCTAGAGATAATGACTAGGTTACGCGTGGGGTACCTTAGGAGGTGACCCAGCTATATGATTTGACACACGTGGATAAAAGACTGAACCGGTGACTTGGTGTACATGTCGCTTTACGGGGTATTGTTCGTTGGATATATGAGAGAACCAGACCTTTTAAAGCGGGTAGCCTGTTAAAGTTGGCCCACGTGTGGTCCACAATCGTGATTTCTGCGTGACCTCTTTATGATTAATTTTTGTGGTGGTACCTCTTCTATAATGATGACGTGCCCATCAAAAACAGAAAAAAATAAAACCCATCTACTAATATGATTTTATTTCTATGAAAGTCCCCACATCTTATATTTGTTTGCCTCGCATTAAATTAAAAGAAAGCTAATTGGTGTGGCCTTCTTATTAAGAAATATTGTGTAGGTTGAAAATTACGCATGATAATTTCTTTAGATATATTTTTTTATTAAGTTATTTTAATGTTAAAAAAGTCAAAGTTCTGGTTTAATGCTTGATTTTATTAAAAATAAATTCAATTTATTGCTTGAGAAAAAATAAAAAAGAAGAGTTCAACATTTGCGGTGAAATAAAAAATGAGTTTTTTTTTAATATTGTTCATAGTATATTTTTTAAATAATATTTTTCTTTGGAGTTTTGCAAATTTCATTTTGAAATCTTCTAATTAAAAACTTTTATATTTAGATTTAAAATTTAATTTTGTTCACATCTTAATTTTTAAATTTGAAGAAAAAGAGAGAAAGTCACCAAATAATAGTTGAGAAGAGAGAAAATTATTTATTGTTTATATTTTAATAATTTAAAAAACTAATCTTAATGTTAATAGATTTCATTTAATAAGAGTAAATTCATTTATATTTTTTGACCCTTATTATCATAGGAAAAATTGATTAAAAGATGTTTTGAGATATGTGTAGGTTTATTGAGATTTATGAATTGATTTTTAGGTGTTTTTAACTTGAAAAATAGTTGAAAATGAGATTTTTTGATAAGTTGATATTCTAACAACCAAGGTGAATAAAGCTAAATCAATATGCAATGTGTTGCTTATGTTTAGTTATGCATGTAAATCTAGCCTTGTAGACCACCACACTTAATCTTTTTTTCTCGTGGACCATGTATGCAAGCTTGTCCTTATAATTCCTTGTGCCTGACTTTTTTTTTAATGGATCACGTGTAATGACCATCCAGATTTAAATATCTCACCTTTTTTTTATTTAATTGTAATTCATTAGAACAAACAAAGCAAAATTATTTCTAGATACTATTTGACTAGA